AAAAAAAAAAAAAAAAAAAATGGAAAATTTTTTTGCACATCGATCAGAGAGACAACATCTTTTTGGTAAATGTACAGCAAGTTTTCTCTATTTTTGATTTTTTATGGTTTTATAAATAAATTAATGTTTTGTCTGCAGAACGGTAGTCACCAACTTCATTCTGAAAAATGAAAGGCGTAAAACTTTTACTGCGAGAAAAGCTATCGAGTCAGAGAAAAAAAAGTTTATTTTAATATTTAAAATTTCTTTAGCTATAAACATTTTGTTGTTTCATGCGTTTTCGTGGTTCTATCAGAAGTTAATGAAAGAGGAAATTCAAAAACAGACATTACAGTTATTCAAAGAATAAACTGATTGTTCAGGTGACATTATGTCCTTAACGAAGGACGGCTTCAAAAATGATCGTCTGCTTTAACTGGAAAAAAAATAGGTTCGTATTTTACTCACTAGCTTTTAATTAAGCAATAATTTTAAATTATTTTCATGTTTTTTCATTCTGTCAAAAATTTAAACCCAAAACATTTATCTTTGATCGCTTCTCTGATTTAATTGAGCGATCAAAAATCTATCAAACCAATAGTTGTGAAGTGAAAGTTAACTACCTGTAAACTCGTTGTGCACTGCTGTTTAAAAAATTTAAGACATCAGTAACGTCACAGGTTTGCGTGGAAACCACAAGAAATTATTTCTGTGTTTCTCATGCTTTTTTTGGAACACCTTGAATACCTTTGATCACCTTATCACACTATAAAGTCCAATTTCTTTTGTCTTGTTCAGGGTTGACGTGACAGTGAAAGTTTTTCTCTCGTTGTTCAGTTGCGAGTCGAAAAGCAGACAAAATTTTTCAAAAAAAAGTTCTTTGGCTACCTGAAATTATGACGCCTTTTGATAGCTAACAGTAACAGCATCTACAAAGTATGTGTTAAATTTACCAGCAGGAGAAAATTTATTCATGATTTGAGGTGTGAATATTCTTTGAAAACTGTTCCTTATAATGCAAACCTCTTAAAAAACTGTTTGCTTGACTAAAAAACAGTTTGAAAAAAAGACTGTGACATTGAGAAGTAATGTGTGAACAAACACCTGATTAATAACGATATCATATCACTCAAGATTACTCTTGACCTAACTCGATTGATAAAGCGCTTTTTTCAAGTGTACTATTTTAAGTTACGTTGTTTTTTAAATAATCTTCTAATCAAGTGTTCTGTTTTTTAACCTGAAGTAATGTTGAATTTCGCAGTATAAAAAAATTATTTTTAAGAAAAACTTCTTTTAGAACGTTTAACAGTGATTTAGTCATTTCTTTTTTATGGAATATAATTGCACAGTTAATTCAGCTGTACAAAAATTCTGGAATTTTGAACAGCATGGTGAAGCAACGCAGTAGAAATACAATATTCTCCTGTATCGATAATCAAAACAACGCTCATTGTTTTAAGTGCAGATGATGTCATCAGAAACCTGACAAGAATTGTTTCAAAATAGTGAAAATAAAAAGCAGTCTTCGTTCTTTCTTCTTGAACTTTTTTTTATCTAAAAGAAGAGATTTTTTAACGCTTTTTTTTTTTTGATGCTTTAAAGTGAGATGGCTGTAATGTTGCCTTTGATTGAAAAAAAGGAACTTTTTTTAAACATTTGTACCGTTCCAACTCGTTGTCCCATTGCATCCGTTTACCCCATTTCGCGCAGTTGATGTGAACCAAAGAGAAAAAGAGTGCAAAGATTTCTTGCTCCTTGTAAACATCTGAATTTGCGTTGAACACTCAAGGTTCTGTATACATGAGTATGCATAAAAATCTTTCAATCAAAAAATTTAAACAAGCCAAACAATTTTAAGGTTGTCGAGGTATCTTTTCCATAAAGAGTGATTTAAGATGATATATTGAGTAAACATTTTCATATACTAAGACTTTACACAAACACATAAGATAAAAAAACTTTATTTTTACCTTTTTAATTGAAGAACAGAATGGTACTTTTAAGTTTTTTGAGAAACATACTTATTACTGAGGAGATATTCAAGGGAATTCCTCTGGTCATCGATATGTCTACGCAAGCGTTACCATTTTTTTAATAGAAATTCAATGCAGTTTTTTAGAAACTTGATATTACTGAAACCAGCAGTAATTTGAGGCAACAATAGATGTACGATTCTCTCAAGCGATTTTTACAATCAAAATTTGAGATTAATTTGGTAGCAAAACCATAGGTAGTTTTCAAAAGAGTTCGAGGGAATGGAATTATATTTGACGCTATGAATAGCCGAAGGGTAGGATCTGATACGGAATATCATCACAAAACAATGAAGGAGAACAAGCTGTAACTCTATCGCTTTTTTTAATTAAAATCACTTGATTTTGTTCTCTGAGTAAAAGTCTGACTACTGGTAACAATATTTTCTCCTGCTCTTGATTAAGTATTTGATTTTGCTTTTACAGCATTCGCTATAGTAGAACTAAAAGTGAAATGATTCTTGTCTTGTACTTTTTTATCTCCTGCTTGTAGAAAACGACATCAGAGCAGAAAGCAGTACCTGTATAGCAGAATTTTTAGATACTGATGGAAGCTTTGCAAGAGTATCGTAACAAACCGACATTTGTTTTGTTCTATGATCTTCTTTTGAAGACAAACATCTGTACTTCGCAAAAAAGGGTATTTTTCACTAAAACCATAAAAATGAAGTTCAAAGAAAATTTCACTTTGGCGCACTCTTATTCAAGTTGGGCTTCTATTCTTGGACGAGACTTTAGGCGCCGAGTGGTATTACAGCGGTATTACTGGCTAGCTTTTGCACGTATTAAGAAGCAACGATTCATAAACTCAAGCACTTGGTGCGGTTTTTTTATGAGCAAAAAAGATGGAATTGCGACATTTACATTACTATTTTATGAGATAATATTGATAAAGACACGTTGAGAAGATGAATTTTTGTCTTGCCGGCCAAACATGCACTTTTTGTATTATCTCTAATTACTAGCAAAATTATCATGATAAATCAGAATTTAAAAATACATTACAAAAGGATCACTATATTAAACGACATAACAAAAAAGTATTTGAAGATTTTAGAAAAGATTCTTTAAAACTATGCCTGAAGCTTTGCAGAAAGTTTTATCTGCCCAAAAAAAATTAGTTCAACAATTTCTTCATATTACAGGCAAGCGTACAATTACTCCTCAATTCTGCATTACTGCAGCTATGCAGCCAGTAAGAATAGATGTCAAACACTGGTGGCTAAACGGTGAGCATACAATTTTTTAATCAAGTGTTGATGTATTCGCTGTGAAATAGAGCTGAAAAAAGCAATGGCTTTTTCAGAAAAAATCTATTTTAAAATACATAAAAACAAATAATTGAAAAGGAATTAGGTAAAGTTAGCAGTGGTTGACGAAAACAAGAGATTTTTACCATAAAAATTAGCAGTATAGCAACAAATTTAACAGAATCAATATTTAGACCTTAAATGACACCAGTTTTGAGTTTGGCAACTGATTTCTCAGAAATTAATTTTATCAAAATTAACAAAATATATATTTGTCCACTACGAAGAAACACTTAACCGCTGCCAACGACAAATGAAGCAATGCCTCGCAAAGCTTAGAAACCAATAGAACAAATTCGTCATTCCCGCCAGCCTTACTTCTCGGCGCAAACTGTTGCCCATTGTCACCAATTTTTATTCTTTGACTTTTACACTTTTTTCCTCTCAGTCAACTCTATTAGTCAAACTAGTGAAAGTACCTTATCAAATAAAGAAAAAAAAAAGAAAGCGAAAGAAACAAATTTTAATTTAGTTATGGAAAAACAACTACTGTCGAGCTACAGAACGACTTGTCTAGACCACTTTATATTAGGTGTTAATCAGTTCTCGATAGCATCAGTCATACGTTGAATAAATGTTTGCACTGGAACAGTTTATAAAATCTGATTAAAATTTGGAAGCCTAGATTTACGTCTGAAAAAAAAAGGATTCATGTTGAATTTAGAATGTAGAGATAAAACAAACCTTTGTTGAAGATGGCTAGATCGATGTCAGTCTTTCTTCTTCGAAAAGATTATGCGAGAATTCTGTGCACGTTCCTGTGGTTTCTGTACGCCAGGTGTTGTACAAAGCCTGAAAACTGTTCAACTTCCGCAGCCCGATTTAGGATTGGCTCCACCGTTATCACGGCTGCAGTATCATCGTCCGTTGTATCAAGGTTTTGGCTAAATCAGCTGAATAATTTATCAGAAGCTAGAAGCTAAAATTTTGTTGGCATACATACAAACATCGGCATATAAAAACCATCAGATAGCAACAACTGATCGACAGTTTCTATGTGTAGCAACAGCATACAGCAACAAGCGACGACAATTTTTTAAAGCCAACGAAGTTGGAATGTTAAAAGTCACAAACGAAGAAAAAAACAAGTGGTTTGGATTCAGAAAACCTTGGATGTCTTTTTCTGTTTCTTTTGCAGCTAATCTCTTATTTAAAAATAAACTTTTCTTTACTGTTATATTATAATTATGCAAAAAACAAGAGGAAAAAAGGGAGAGAAGTTCTTTAGTAAACTAGTTTATCTAAGTTATTAGTACTTCTCAATTTTTTTTTCTTGGTCAAAAGAGTTTGTAGAAGAAAGGCTACATAATTAAGAAATCATCCTTCATAGGCTGGCTGTGGTTGTAAAAAAACGTTTTTTTTTTTAATTTCTTCCACGTTGGTGATTGCTTCCCAAAAATAAATAACGGTTGTTGGAAACAGTAGTCATCTGTCTATGCTGTGTGTAATCTACTGCTGTAAGGTTGAACAAAATGGTTTGTCAGATGTACCTATCAACAGTATTTTCGTTTTTTACTGATTTTCTTCAGTTTATTATATCGTTTTTTTTTTTCTTTTTTTCTGTCGTCACACCTCCCCTACGGCTCTGAAACTGACACGTCGATTCGGTTACTCTGTCTACTCAACTTTCAACTCTTACTTTTTTTTTACCGTTACGCCGATTTGTCTGACTGTGTCTTCCAAATCTTAAATTGTAAATCTTTGTCTGTTGGTCAATTAAAAATGTTTACGTAACTATCAACTTGT